CTCTCCTCAGATGTGGAGTTTCCAGGGTTCAAACTTGGGTCTTCAGGCTTGGCAACATGTACCCTTACCTGCTGAGCCTTCTCACCAGCCCAGTGGCCAATTTTTGAGCAAATATTTACTGTGAGCTGACTCCTATTCAATCCTGGAGATCCAGAGGTGAATAGAACACAGTTTATTTCTTTAAATGGCACTTCAACCAGAACACTGTTAAGGGACCTGGCCTGCCTACTATAAGAGATTCCAGAAGGCCCTAGCTGTTCACTAGGTCCAGAGTGAAGTCTCTGTGGAGACCTGGCCACCTCGGAACTCACTCTGCAGACCAAGCTGGTCTTGAACTTAGAGATTCATCTGCCTCTGCCTCCCAAGTGCTGGGATTAAAGGCATGCGCCACCTGATTTGGAGTTTTTTAAGGAGGTAAAAATGTCTATGAATAAAAAGAGCGAAGTGATGGAATATGAATTGTCAAAGACTGACATGTGTCATGTGCCTTCTGTTTCACAACAAAAAGGAACTTTTTTATTGTATATACAGACCTGCCTTTGAAAACTAGGGTGACCAGCTACCATGATGTGCTTGACACAGCCGACTGCTTAGAATGCAGGCGGGTCAGCTGGAGTCAGGCTACAGGAGGACTTGGGAAGGTCCTCTGCTCAGGAAAACAAGTGTCTGACCTGGTAGGCTGAGAGAACATCTGCAGGATGATGAGTTTGCCTGGGTAAGCCAGTGGTTCTGAAAGTTAGGGTCCTGCTCATTGTCAGAGGGGCATTGGAGAATACTGTGGAACTCCTGTTTGTGAAGTCTGGAGACTGGAGATGTGCACTCTTATGTATATACCGTTTGTGAATGCCTTGCCTTCTTCCTCATAAAGCAGAACAGTTAATCTGCCTCAGCTCTGAGCTCTGTGGGGGTCACATAAGAGGATGAGGATGACATAGAATAACGAGTCAGTCTGTGCAGTGTGCCCTTACAGCAACGCTGAGAGCGCCACACCACACTAGAAAGCCACTCTGTCTTGTCTTAACCCTATGAACTTACTTGCTTGGCTCAATAGTGAAGCTCTTACCTAGCAAACCTGAGGCCCTGGACTCTACAAGTATCAAGTATCAATCAGCCTGTCAGAAAAGAACACCCACCAGACACAGCCCCTAAGGGATGCATCAACAACACCAACCAAGAGCTGTAGGGAGGTTGGGTGAGGTCCAGGGCAAGAGAGTAGACCCTATAGCCCCAAGCCATTGCTGCTCATACAGTGATGGCTTTAGAAACTCCTTAGTAGAAGCTGCACAGTAATGTGATCACCACAGCTGCACCCACTAGTCCTGAAGACTGTCCAGTAGATGTGGAAGAGGCAGGTTCACTGTGCCTCCCTCCCCGGGACAGTGCTCCATGCTGTGTTGTCCCTAAGGAGTAATGAGTAAATTAAGAGTCATGGTTGCTCTCACTTTGTAGCTGGTTAGGTGTGTTTATGGCCAGTTCCTGGACAGAGCAGGCTGCTGTGCAGTGTGCTCCTGACTCTGAGGTTGTGGGCATCCCCTAATGATGTCTTGTGAGGCTGTGAGTATAAGCTCTTGGTGATTCCTGGGGCTTCCCAACTGAGCACAGCTTTGAGCATCTTTGTCCTCCTGAGGCTTTACAGAACACACAGCAGCCAGAGTCTCCCCAAGCTGCGACTTGGCCTTTCTCAAAACAACCTTTCTTCTGAATTGACTTTGCATTGACATCTTACCACAAGCCACCTTCCCGTCGGACAGAGTTTGAACCATGCTCCAGTCCTGCGCGGCAGCTTTGTCTTTGGTTCAGGTTTGACTAATTAATTAGACACGTTCTGGGGAGAGCTGCCCATGTTCTGACCACTTTCTTTTCTTCCAGTTTTCCTTTCTTTTTCTTTTTTTTTTCTCTTTGCAGTGTTGGGGACCAAACCTAGGGCCTTGCACATGTAGACAAGTTTCTAGGGCTGAGTAAATTCCAGCCTCTGTTTTGTTTCCACACGGAGTGAGGTGGTGGCTCTGCTGTGATTGCCACTCCTAATATATCCTACCTGGTAGTAGAGTTCGGAATTGTGGGTGCGGCGTTTACACTCATGGGCAGCGTAAGTTCAGAACATGCTTATAATTTTATTATTGTTTCTTTTGTTTCAGTGAAAAGTGTTAGCAGGCAAGTAGCCAAGAATGTTTCTTTGGAGGCGTTTGGGAAAGGGCCAGGACGCGGGACAGAAAGGTGGGGACGCTGTGGTTTCTGAAGAGTGAACCCAGAGAGCCTGTTGCTGGAAAGGGCTTGAGCAGTCATCTCCTTCAGTTCCCTTTTCCAGCTAATCATGAGGAAAGTGAGGTTGAGAGAGGTTAGGTGACTTCCCCAAAGCCACACAGGCCACACGACTGTTTAGCAGCTTCTTTCTGAGGCTGCAGCTCGCCACTTCCTACTTAGCGTAAGAGGCATTTTCCTTGTCTGTGTTGTGTCTTTTTTATTTCAGTTTTTACATTTCAAGGAGAGTTTATTTATTGAGTACATCCTATTGCAATTTCTTTAGAGTATATGTGATGTTTCTGTCGTCCTGTGAACAGCCATTAAACAGCCCTGCTTTACAGTGTCAGCCCAGACAGTAGAGCGGCGCAGGGGGCTAGCTGAGTTCCAGGTCATGTGGCCAATATTAGAACTGGCATTTAGGCTTGAGGTCTCTGTGACCTGTTACTCCATGGTACCCCTGTGTCTCCTGGTGATGTAATGCAGGTCTTTTCAGTGTGGGCAGTGGGGGTGGTCATCTTCAGAGTGTGTCTGCTTGGACGTGTCCTATGCGCTGCAAAAGGCAAAGATATGCTCAGTGGGTGGAGTGAGCCTTGCTCAGGGGAGCCCCAGCACTTAGCAGGCGCTTGGCTTATTTCCCTCTTGTCTCTGTAAGATAAATGGTGTTTTCTGGTTGAATAGTTGAGGCCCAGATAGGCTCAGGGACTTACCCAGCTCCTTATCACAAACCCACATGGCCCATTTCCTAGCCTATCCTCGGCCCCTTCTAGCATAGATTTCGCCACTTCTGCTCTTTTCTGTCTTACACCAAGATTGTCTAAGTACTTCCCAAAAATAATGAGCCACGTGTGGGTGTGTTCATTCTCCAGAATGAATCACTGTGAACGAGGCCAGCACCAACGAAAGAAGACTAAATATCAGGAATCAGGGACTCCTGACTCCTCTACCCCACTAATTGACGGACTCTAAAGGGACTGCTTTTGAAAAGGTGGCTGTGGGTTTGGCTGTGTGTCTCACCGTGCTCAGAATAGTCATCTCTTGAAGTTGCTAATTTCCCTTTCTTGTTTCCCAAAATAGACCCAATGCTGTTTTCTTTGTTGGACGGCACAACATAGGTGCTGAGGCATGTGCTCCCTGTAGGGAGCCCCGAAGGGACACAGAAGGGGTCGGCAGGACTCCTGGAGGAGGAAAAGGGGGTCCTACCAGGTGTTCTGAGACTTGAATAAATTTTAAGTTCTTAAGAGGAGTAAGGCAAGCCTGACTTGGAGGCCTGTGACCCCAGCACTGTAGAGACAGGAGGGTGGAGGGGACAAGGCCGGCAGGACTACTTAGTGCAGTGTCTCAGACAAACAAACCGAATGAGAGAACTTGCAAGTGCAAGTCTAGGAGGGAAATTTGAGATTTTCTTCATCTTGAGTCTAGAAGGTTAAACCTGAGGTCCAGGGGAAATTTGCTGGAAAAACTCCTTTTCTGATCTGAGTCCTTGTCTTCCCTGCTTCAAATACTCTGCCTGTAAAAAAACAGTGTAACCCAAGCTATGAGCAGGCCGCTGCATGTTTGGGAATTCATCTCAGAAGATAGAGATCGCATCAAATCCTGCAAAACACATGGGGCCCTACATGGAAGGGCTCCATATTTATCTGCTTTCTTCTTGCCCCCACCCCCAAATACCCTGATGGGAACAACAAAGGGTTGTCTTTGGGTTTGCAAAGCTAAGGGTTGATTTTCAGAGCATAGATGACGAGATGAAGATGAGCTCTCTGAAGCCTGGGCTTTCCTTTGGATTGGCCACAAATCTTTCTGCTGTAGTGAGCTTAGGGTGCAGGTCTTCCCACCGAGTGTGCCGTGGTGGTCTTGCACCCTTTCCCCCGTCCCTTGGTGAGTGAGTGCCTTATTCTGTGTGTACCAGCTTCAGTATTGTAGGCAGTGCTGCATTCCTGCCCATCCCAGGAGGTCAGGGCTGGGTTAGGCTTGGGAGACAGTATAGGAGCAGCAACTGTCTGTGCTATTCTTGTTAGTCAGATAAATAAAGGATTGCAGATTCCAGGGCTGTTGAGTAGCTTTCAGAGGCGCCAAGTTCATTTACAGTGATTTCCTGACGGTGGCATACACTTATGTGTGGTACATACCCAGCAAAGCTCATTAGTGCCAGTGGGGATTGTGTATCCTGCCTAGTTGAGAAAAGGAGAGAGAGAGAGAGAGAGAGAGAGAGAGAGAGAGAGAGAGAGATACACACACATGAGTGTACATATGCGTGCCAAGTGCTGCCTGGGTCCTTTTGGTACGGGGAAAACCTCAAAAGAAGTAGTAATTGAGGCAGAATTTTAAAGGATTTAGGCAGGAAAACAAACAAAATCCCCCAAAGCCAACACTGCAGTGAAAGGACGTATGAGAGCATGCATACCATGTCCTGGAAACTGGGATGCTTGGTACCCAAGAAGAGATGGGATAAGAGTGGGCCCAAGGACTCCTGGGTAGCTTTGTGTGGAATGTGGAGAGCACCAGATCTCCAACGGAAAGGCTCATTTGGAAGGAGTGGGTGGTTCATTTGTCTTCATGGGCATACAGCAGAGCCGTTAGGAACTGTGGGGCCTACAAAGCTTTGTCTGCGAGCTAAGGTCCAAAGGTGCCTTCCGAGGCTGCCTTTCCTGCCCCATTTCTGTAAAAGCTGTTTATTTGGGGGCTATGAACTGTGCCGAGGGGTCCTTCTGAGTCTGGGAAAGGACCTGAAGGAAGATGTTACATTCCTGTTGATACCTGCTCCTCTGTGTCCTGTAGCTCTGCTGTGTGCATGTACTAGCTGCCTACAGACCAACTACACGTGTGAAACAGATGGGGCCTGCATGGTCTCCATCTTCAACCTGGATGGCATGGAGCACCACGTGCGCACCTGCATCCCCAAAGTGGAGCTGGTTCCTGCCGGAAAGCCCTTCTACTGTCTGAGCTCTGAGGACCTGCGCAACACCCACTGCTGCTACAGCGACTTCTGCAACAAGATTGACCTCAGGGTGCCCAGCGGTGAGTGGACACCTTTCACTTGTCTCCCTTGTCCCTCCATTCTGCTCTGCTCTTTCCCAGTCCCTTGGCTCAGTGATAGCTAAAGGTGATTTTTAGATGCTCCCTGAGGTGAAGACAAAGGCAGTCAGGCTTGTTGTTCAGAAGGCTAGAAGAGATTTCCTAGTTAGTCCCAGAGCTCCCAGCTACTTGTGGGGAGGCGAACGTCAGCAGCAGAGCCATGTGAAGGGACACACCTGGGGTTGGGGTGAATCAGTGTGAGGAAGGCTAGAATTAGAAAGGGTGGCGAGTCTCCCTGGGCAGCTCTGCCCTTTAGCAGGTCTTTCTGAGGGGAGACTGACCAGAGCCTGGAGGAGCCTGGGCCAAGCTTGCAATTCTGACACACTTTGAACATCCAGAGTGGGTTTGGTTCCACTGTTGGATGGTGGTTCACTGAGGGAAAGGTGGCATCTGAGAGTATCCAGGCATAGGCTAGCCCAGGAAGACCAGAGGAAACCACAACCGAGGGTCTTTAACATGACGTACAGTTTTGGAGATAAATTGGGCCACAGCATTCTCTTCTTTTGACTTCCTCCTCTCGCTCGTTTTCCCAGGGCACCTCAAGGAGCCTGAGCACCCCTCCATGTGGGGCCCTGTGGAGCTGGTGGGCATTATCGCTGGCCCAGTCTTCCTCCTGTTTCTCATCATCATCATCGTCTTCCTTGTTATCAACTATCACCAGCGTGTCTACCACAACCGCCAGAGACTGGACATGGAGGACCCCTCGTGTGAGATGTGTCTCTCCAAAGACAAGACACTCCAGGATCTTGTCTATGATCTCTCCACGTCAGGGTCTGGCTCAGGTACTAGGTTCTCCAGGCACTGTGTGTGTTGGCCCTTACAGCTGGTTCTCAGCAGGAGAGAGTGTTTATGAGGAAAGCTGGGCCCTGCTGTGTTGAGTCATTTGGTTTCATAATTCTCATCTGGAGTCTGACGTGTAATAAGATATGATAATGGCTATACCGAAAATCTTTCATTTTCCAAAATTCCAGAGGTCAAGTGCAAAACTTTTTCTTCAGAAACTCTGCCTCTCTCTAGCTGTTGTAGCTGTGTGTCTGTGAAAACTACGCTGGTTCCACCTGACCAGAGGCATGCTCAGTTGAAGGACCCCTCAAACAAGAGTGTGTCGGATTCCTGAGGTGCCGACAGCTAATCATTGATCTCTGCACAGCCACAAGGGGAGTTTGAGGACACTGAGCAAAGCTTAGAATGGAGACTTGGTGAATCATTGACTTGTTCCACTGCCCATGGTCTCTCAGTCAGAGTTATCAGAAAGGCAGCTTGGGCTTCCAGCATAGTTTGGCCCCCATTTCCTGTAGTGCCTGTTGTTGTCCAAGGCTTTCTTAGATGAGACATTGAACTCAGCTATGGACCTTGACATGAAACTAGAACTCAGGATGGAAAGACCCGAGGTTGCTCAGGTCTCAGGAAATAGCTCAACTAACAAAGACAGAAAAAGTTAAATATATGGTTGTGATAGAACATAGCTGAAATCATCTGCACCCCAGCACTAGCACTCGAGGCTGAGACAGGAGAATTGCCTCAAGTTCAATGTCAGCGCAGGCTGCCTAACAAGTATCAGGCCAACCAGGACTACATAGTGAGTCTCTCTCTCAAACCCAGTTCAGAGCTAACTATTAGATGTGCGTATAACTGGAAAGACACGTTGTTGCTGCTGCAGTGAAGATAAATGATGTTGTCAGAGCTGTCCTGTTCACCTGAAACATGGAAAAAGCTTTCAGAGGGCAGTGTTGTCATGCGAGCTGGAACCCAAGCCTCGCTGTGACTCTGTTTCCCTGCCATGGGCTGTACTGTGGTTATGCAAGGAAGCTGTGCCATCAGTTATGGCCAGATGCCCTCCAGGAACACAGGAGTCCTGTGAGGGCTGACATCTGAACGTCAGTGGCTCTGCCGTTATGAAGCTCGGCACCAACATGAATATATTTAAAAGCTGCATATTTTTAGAAACCTAGAAATATCTGGCGTGTGCTTTTCCACCAAAGGCAGGGCAGTGGCTGAAAGTGCCTGAGAGAGATAGTTCTGGTGTCCTAGGGTTTTCAGATCCAAGTCAGCGAGGTCGAGAAGTCCTTTGCACATTTTGTCCAGAATAAGACAGTCCATGGCTGTTTCCCCTTGGGTAGTTCAGTCCATTCTTTGGTACAGAGTGTACAGAGCTTCCAAGGGGTTGGTCTTGTTTTTAATTTTGTTTTTTAAATTATGTGTGTGTTGCAGGGGAGTGAGCAGGTGAGCAGACAGAGGGTCAGACCTGTTGGAGCTGTACTTTGTGAACCACCTACTGATGTGGTTCTGGGAGCTGGACTTGGATCTTCTGGAAGAATAGTTGACTTTCTTTTTTCTTTTTTTGAGGGGAGGACGGGACAAGCTCTCCCTATGTAACTTTGGCTAGCCTGGAACTTACTATGTAGACTAGGTTAACCCGAAGCTCACTAATAATAGAGATCTACTATTTTTGCCTCCTGAGTGTTTGATTAAAGATGCACACCACCATACCTGGTTCAGTATGTGCTCTTAACCACTGAGCCATCTCTCTAGCCTGGGCATTGAGTCTTTAAAGCACTAAGTTCACATCATCTTTTTAACAAATATGTGCTAAATGCCCTCTGGAAACAAAGGTTGAGAAGAAGCTGGTCTAGAGTTGGGCAGGCTGACAGGATTGTTGAGGGGTCTCACAGAGGTGTGTACATGTGAGGCAGGCAGGCAGGCGGGCAGGCAGGCAGGCAGGCAGGCAGGCAGGGAACATTCCAGACCACAGAACAGACTTTGAATGCAAAGAACAAAAAGCCATGAAGGTTCACGGTGTATTTAAAGACTCACAATAAGGAGTTGGCATGGTATGCCTAGCGCAGGCAGAGGCAGGCTGGCCAGGTATCAAGGGCTGTGGGAGCACACTTTGTCTTGCAGGTCAGAGCTTCTGCTGAGAGTTCTTACATGGGCAAATGAATGCTTTCATCCCCCCACTTTGGATGAAACGAAATTTTGGCAGTGGTGCGGAGGATGGATTCATTCACTTGCCAGTCTCCTGTTAGAAAGGGCGGGTGGAGCAGGGCTGCATGTGGGCGTGTAGGGCAATGGCAGGGTGAGATGAGGGAGAAAGACCAGTTGGAAGTCTTTTAGAAGGGGCCAGAGTATGACAGGGCAAAGCGGGAGGGAACGATGGGGCTGACAGAGGACCTTCTGACGGTCCTGTCCAGTGTGAGTAGAGCACCAGGTGTGGAGTCAGTCCTAGAGTTTGGTTCCTGTTTCGTGTTTTGTTTGTGTCAATTTGAACTAGTTATATAATATCCCCTTTTGAGCCTTACTAGTTTTCTTGTCTGTACAATGGTGATAATAGCAATGCCTGCCTTCTGAACATGAAGAAACGAGGTAATTTATGTAAAACCCTTAGCACACAGTAAATCCACCAAACCTAGGGATTACTAACAGCTGTTATTTGGTCCAGGGAGGGAATGGACGAAGATAAAGTCAGTCATGATTGGACAGCTAGAGAGACAGACACTGAATGAGGCAAATGAAGCAGTGGTGAGCCCTACAGGACGGTCAACTGAGTCATGAGTTAGTGTGGGTAGTCGCCAGGCTACACCTGGAGCCTTGCTGGGAGTAGGGCTCTCTCTAGAGAGCTGGGTACCCTATGGGCTTAGACCATAGGTCCTATTGGCCATGCAGCATTGCCCTCTAGTGGCTAGTGAGCAGGGTGGCGAGGAAGGCAGTGCCCACTTTAGGAGCCCCTGCTTTCATTTTTTTCAGTTCCCATCAGAATAAAGCAGGTACCTATGAGTTTGTAAATGTGGTCAAAGATTTGCATGCAAGTTTCTTATTCAACAGACCAGAGGAGAAGTTATTGGCTGAGGGGCAACTAATCGTGTGTTTTCTGTACTGACTTTCACTTAGCCTGCCAGTGGTTACCTAGCATAGCTCAGGTCTTACTGTAGGCCCTCTGTGGCTACTGGGCTAGAAGAACCTGGAGAGACACTTTGTTGAGGGCCTTTCTGGGGACGTATGCTGTGGCAGACTCAGAGTTTAGCAGATTTGCAGTATCATATTTTCTCTTCATTCTTTGGCCCACAGGGTTACCCCTTTTTGTCCAGCGCACAGTGGCCCGAACCATTGTTTTACAAGAGATTATCGGCAAGGGCCGGTTTGGGGAAGTATGGCGTGGCCGCTGGCGAGGTGGTGACGTGGCTGTGAAAATCTTCTCTTCTCGTGAAGAGCGGTCGTGGTTCCGGGAAGCAGAGATCTACCAGACAGTCATGCTGCGTCATGAAAACATCCTTGGGTTTATTGCTGCTGACAATAAAGGTACAGAGTACCCCAAAGTCAGTGGCATTGTGGGGGGACACTAGAGAGACCCAGCTGTCCTGCAACACACAGAGGAAGTCTGGATAAGATCATGGTTTCAAGCCCTTTTGAAAATGTGGAGCCTTTTATGCAAGAGAAGCTCACATGGAACCCAGGTCATTAGGGAAGAAGGAAGGCTCTCTTCCTCACCCCACACCTGCACCGAGTATAGGCCTGTGGGGACTCCCATTTGTTTATTTTGAAAATCCCTATGATAAGGAATTATGGTTTCCCCCTCCCAGGAAAGAATGGTGGCAGAAATGCATACAGTCACCTTCTACAACACAGCCAGCACTGTATACTCTTGTTGTGGCAGCCACCGAAGAACAAAGACCTGCCTGTTCCCAGTTACCTAGTAGTTTTGAGACTGTACCTAAGGCCTGAGCTGCTGCTGCTCTGATTCCCCCTTTTTTTCCCCTCTCCTCCCTCTTCTCCCTCCCCCTCTCCTCCCACTCTCCTCTTTCCTCTCCTCCCCCTCTCTTCTCCCTCTCCTCCTCCTCCTTCCCCTCTCCTCTTCTTTCTTTGGGAGGGTGGGAGTTGAGGCAGAGTGTTGCCATATAGTCCAGCCTGACCTCAGATGTAGCCTTGTGTCTCAGCCTCTCAGATGCTGAGATTTACAGTGTGTGGACCACACCTGGCTGTCGTGCTGCAGTGTTGAGGTTTTTGCTTGTGCCCGTCCCTATTTTGAGGACCTCATTGATGGGTAAACTAACAACTTTTGGTAAGAGGCAAGTACAAACCAGTCTAGGTGAGTGATATTGAAGGCAGGTCCTATATAAGCTTGACAAACATGGCAAAAAAACTGGACAGAAAGGAAGATCCATGTGTACATGTGCAAAAAAACTGGACAGAAAGGAAAATCCATGTGTACATGTGCAAAGTAAGGTGTGTTTGGGTTCTGCAGATAACATGAGAGAAGCAGTGGAGAGGTAGGCAGAGACCAGGGCATGCTGGGCTTGTGTGTGTGTGCGTGTGTTAGCGTTAGCACATGCATATGCATGTGCTTGTGTGGTTCTTGTGTGTGAAGTCAGTGTCTTTGTCTTTCTGTATTGTTCTCTGTAAGTGGCACCTTTTGTCCCAATCACCCAGTCCCAAATAAAAACACAAAAACTTATATTAATTTCAAAATGTTTGGCTGATAGCTCAGACTTATTACTAACTAGTTCTTACAATTTAGTCCATTTCTATTAATCCTTGTAACTGCCCCGAAGCTCATAACCTTCACCTCTATCCCATTGTGTGTATCTGACTCATTCTCTATCTGACTGGCAACTCCTATCACTCCACCCTTCTTCATCCCATCATTCTCAGTTTGGCTTTCCCACCTAACTCTATCCTCCCTTGCTGTAGGCCAATCAGCTTTATTATTAACCAATGAAAGTAATACATATTCATAGTGTAGAGAAGGATTTTTCTACAGCAGTTCTCTGCCCTGTGTTTTGAGATAGTCTCTCACAAAACCCAAAGCTCACCGATTGGCTGGACTGACTGCCAGCAAGTCCCTATGATCTTCCTGTTTCCACCCACCAATCTAATGCTAGTGTTACAGGGACATATGTCATTCCCGATTTTTCTGAGTGGTGGGCATCCAAACTCAGGTTCTTGTGCTTGCACAGCAAACCTGTGAAGGAAGTGCTGAAAGGGTTGTATTTGATACTGAACACAGGTAACCATTCGAATGCTGTTCATTAATTTAATAACATTGATCACTGTGGGCCAGGGCCTCTACCAACCACAGAGCTTATTCCTCACGGTGCTGTGGGGTTGGAGATGGCCCCAGCTGCCCCCAAGCTGAAGAGAGTCTCAGTTCTCTGAGGAAGTGGCTACTCTTGCAAACATCATTGGAAGGGTCAAACCAGTGGGCCCTTAAGAAGCAGTTGCTGGTTAGAGTATGACCCTTGTTAGGGTCAGAGATGCCAAGGTTCTCTATTGATTCTGGCAGCTGATGTGAGCCGGGATCTGGTCCGTGACACTGCATGAGAACCAGGGAGAGGGAAGTCGGGCTTCTTTTTCTTGACTTTGTGCCATGATGTATTCAGTGTGATGCCCTGGAACCAGCACCAGTCCTCTAATCTTCCCAGGGACAGCAGCATGGCCTATTTTGATTCCTGGCCCTTTTTTTTCCTTCCCTTCCTCTCCTGTCGTCTTTCCTGCTACCACCCCATGTGAAAGAGAAGATACGGTGCTTGTCACACACCTTCCATTGCTTCACTGAAGGGCAGGGCATGTTTTCTGGGAATTCTTGGGCCAGTCACACGTGGGAAAGTATTCTTGGTTCTGCAGCCACGATGCGTGAAGGAGTCCTCCTGCTCTTACCATGGCTCCTGGCCTGAGAGTGGCCACAGGCTGGACAGAGACTTTTCAGTGAGACAGGTGCCGGGCTCTGGGTTACCCAGCATTCAGGGGAGGGAGAGGCCTGTGAGGTGTTTCCTCCTTGGCAGTGACAAATGTAGCTTTGTGAATTTCATGTCAGGGTTGTAACAAAATGGAACCCATTGCTTTCCCTAAGCACACTTTGTTCTTTCCTGGCTACCCCACATTGCAAATTTGGCAATAAAATGGCATATTGTTTAGAATTGTCCTCACTCCTTTTCAGTGCTCCCCACTGTCTCAGTCACTTGTTGCCGTGTTAAAACACCACAGCCAAAGCAACATAAAGAAGAGTTACTTTGTGTTCACTGTTCCAGGGTTGAGTCCATGAAGATGAGGCAGAGGCAACAGGCAAGGGGCTGCTGGAACAGCAGCTGGGAGCTCACATCTTCATCTCCAAGCAGAAGGGTGGCTCAGAAAGCCTGCCTCCACCTGTCCCCAGAAACATACTTCCTCTAGCAAGGCCCCACCTCCTCGGCTTCCCAAACAGCCGTCAACTGGGTCAGGCAGTCAGATGCCCAGGACTATTGGGGGACATCGCGTTCAAACTACCGCACTCACTGGAATAGTGGAGCAGGCCTAAAAAAGAAATGCTGTTCCCTGTCCACTCTGGAGGTTGCTATAGGGAAGTGGGGTCCAGCGGAAGCCAGAGGTGTAGACACAGGGTCCTGACCTGGCCTTGTCTGGTTACATTGCACACCTTGTTGTTGTCACAGTCTCCTGCTCAGACCTCCTCTGTTTTCTGCAGATAATGGCACCTGGACCCAGCTGTGGCTTGTCTCTGACTATCACGAGCATGGCTCCCTGTTTGATTATCTGAACCGCTACACAGTGACCATTGAGGGGATGATTAAGCTGGCCCTGTCTGCAGCCAGCGGGTTGGCACACCTGCACATGGAGATCGTGGGCACTCAAGGTGAGCGTGAACTCAGATAAGGAGCAGGAAGCTTGAGACAAAAGACCTATCCATTGTCATCTGGTCCTTGTCACTGAGGTAGCTGGGGCCAAACTTTGGGAATGGTAGTTTCATCTGAGTGCCAAACTGTCTGAGCAAGAACAAAAGCTACACATGTTTCTTTATTGACTCTGTCGTCAGCCCTCTCCTGGGGAAGGTCTGAGGTGAGAACTTGGCTGCTGTTAACACATGGCTCAGTGGTTTGCTAAGGAATAGCATTTTGGGGTGCACTGTGAAAGAGTGGAACTAAGAAGAGGTCAGCATGCCACAAGCAAGAGTGCAGGGATCTCATGCTGAGGTTGTGCCTTGCACGTCTCGTGGTAACAAGACATGGGGCCCACCTGTCTGCAGACTTCCTGGAAGAGAACCAGGCTTCGTGCCAAGTTGTCTTGTTGGCTCCAGATCCTGGGCTTGCCCCAGCAGCAGGTGTGAGCTCTGGGCCTTGATTGGCCCTGGGCAGCGGCTCTTACTATGTGTGGTAGGAAGCCAGCATGACAATCAGGCCCTAGTGCCGCAGGACTAATGTCAGTCCAGTCCTCAGAGTCACCAGTTGTTCACCTGGGCTCTTCAAGGCTGGTGAGTGGTGGTATTATAATGTTGAACAATAGCCATGTCATTCTGAGGCATGTCAGGTACTTCAGGGAATGCTTTGATTCTCCACATTCCCAGGAAGTGCCATTATTCTAACTGTCCAGAAGAGAAGGCTGAGCTACTCATGGAAGGCAAAACCAGGACTCGGCTCACAGAGTCTGGCTCAGAATTCATGCATTTTCTGTGTGTTTATCTTCCTTAAATGTAACTGGTTTTGTCTCTGCCAGGGAAGCCTGGAATTGCTCATCGAGACTTAAAGTCAAAGAACATCCTGGTGAAGAAGAACGGCATGTGTGCCATTGCAGACCTGGGCCTAGCCGTCCGTCACGATGCAGTTACTGACACCATTGACATTGCTCCAAATCAGAGGGTGGGAACCAAACGGTAGGAAGGCCCTAGGCTCCAGCCCTCACTCATGAGGAGGAAATGAAATATCTCCTTGTCATTGAATGGCAAATGTTGGTCTTCCCTTCCTCACGTTGGAGCATGCACAGTAGTCCTAACAGGCCCTGGTACCAGGCACAGCTCTGTGGACTGTGTGAGCTGTGGCCCTTGCAAAAGGCCGTGGGGAAAGAGTTTAGAGCAGGAAGCCTGATTTGGTCGCACACGCCTTTAGTCTAGCACTTAGCACGCCAAGCCAGGCAGATCTCCATGAGTTCAAATACACAGTGAGACCCTGGGGTAAGGCATACTGGAGAAATGACTCAGTGATTAAGAGCATATGCTGCTCTTGCAGAGGACCCACATTTGTTCCCAACACCCATAGCAAGTTGGATGGCTCACGGCCACCTATAATTCCAGCTCCAGGAGATCCAAAGTTCTCTTCTGACCTCCTTGGGGTGGGGGTGGGGGCACAGAGAGAGAGAGAGACAGACAGGCAGACAAATAGTGAAGATAGCTATTTTAAAATACAAAAGAAGCTAGGTGGTGATGGCTCATGCTTTTATTCCCAGCACTTGGGAGGCAGAGGCAGGTAGATCTCTTGAGTTCAAGGCCAGCCTGGTCTACAGAGCAAGTTCCAGGACAGCCAGAGCTACACAGAGAAACCCTCTTGTTTGTTTTAGTTTTTGAGTTTGTTTTTGTTTTTTGAGACGGTTTCTCTGTGTAACAGCCAGGCTATCCTGGAACTCCCTCTGTAGAGCAGGCTAGCCTTGAACTCACACAGATCCGCCTGCCTCTGCCTCCCAAGTGTTGGGATCAAAGGTGTGCGCCACCACCACTGGACAAGAAACCCTGTCTTTAAAAAACAAACAGACCAAAAAATAAAAGATTCTGAAGCAGGGTTTTGGAGGGTAGGAACTAGTCCTGACTAATGGCAGGGACGAGACAACAGTGCAGTGTAGAAGGTGACTTACAGACCCCTTGAAGGAGGCAGGGAATGTATCATGTTTGAGCTTGCAGGGCAAGGGTGCCAGCCTGGAACAGAACTAATGAAGACTGGGGACTGGCTACCTGAAGGGTTTGGCCTGCTTGCCACTTCATTGAGAAGGAAAGGAACTATAATAGCTGACAACGTAAGATGGAGGGTGGAAGGATCTGTGCTGTTTCTAAGTGGATTGCTTAGGCTGCTCCTTTTTGTCCTTTTGACCTGAGATTGCATCTACTCAGGCTCCAAAGTATAGCTGGGGGCATCTGTACCATATAATTACACACAGTCAGTGTGCAGAGTCACTAAGTGTGATTTTGATCACCTCTAGAATTGTTTTCACCCATCTGAAATCAGGTAAGATAAAGTCAGGATGAAATTTAAGGTCACTCCATCACTGGTCTCCCTGTAAAGTGACGGCTCCAGTAGCCACCTGCTGTTGCCACCTCTGTGGTCCCACAGCACAGACAGTGCCAAGAAACCCAAACAGGCTCCAATAAAAAACATCTATGCTGAAACTTTCAGCATGAATTCACAGCAGGTTGTGTAGCAGAAGACAAGTGCTCACTCCTGCTTCCCAGAGAGCTGCATTAGAGTAGTGTTCTTACACATCCAGACCTCGTGGGCTGTCCGTCACTGTGTTCCTCTTGCCATTCCAGATACATGGCTCCTGAAGTCCTTGATGAAACCATCAACATGAAGCACTTTGACTCCTTCAAGTGCGCTGATATCTATGCTCTCGGGCTCGTGTACTGGGAGATTGCGCGGAGATGCAATTCTGGAGGTACCTGCATTCTGCTGTCTTTCAGCATATGAGTTACCCAATGGTGCTGCTGCCCACTTCTCTGCAGCCTGTGCAATGTTTGGTTCCCGAGTCCTGGAGGCAGTTGTGTTGAGACGGCAGCTTGGTGTTATATTTATTTGCATGGGCTAAGGATGAACTGAGGGCTTTGTTCATGTTAGACAAGACTCTTAATGTTCTAAGCCTTAGGACCAGCTTGTCAAATAGCGGTGTTCTCTGTGATAATCATTTTGATAGCTCATTAGACACGTGACACACACACACACACACACACACTCTTTTTCTCTCTCTCCCTCCCTCCTCCTCTCCCCTCACTCACTGTCTTCTTTGTAACCTGTAGTGGAGGAGAATCCCTAGGCTGCCTATGGACCAGGGTTATGAGTCGGCAGTTTGTTCTGACATCTAGGCCTTCCAGATGCAGTCCTAGCCACGTCTCTGGGGAAGCCTTGTACTTCCTCCTTGCAGTTAGAGTGGAGCTTTCCAGGGTGACAAGTGCTTGTAGGACTTTCTTAAAGTGCCTCTTCTTCTCTCGTCATTAAAGAAACAACCAAGCTGACAGCCACAGTTGCTTGTTCGCGTCAGAACCTGAAGAAAAGGTAGCATCAGGGTTAGCAGGAACGTTTTTATTGTCAACTTCTATGAGTGTCTTATGATGGCCTCCAAATATTCTGCCATGTTCTCAAATTCCAGAGCCTCTAGAGTGCGCCCCTCCAGCAAAACCCTTTTTCTGTTCCTACCCTTTTCTGATCGTGATGTGTGTGGTGGACACAGTAATGGAGGAGTTACTCAGGTAGTCATGATTGGTATGACTAAGTAAAGCTGATCAGGAAAATTCTGGAGCTAGAATGTGATATACATCCATATGTACGTTCATACATACATGCATGCATACATATAAGAATGTAATTTATATACATTCACACATACATACATGTGTATAGATGTGTGTGTATGTATGCATGTGTGTATGTATATGTAGTATAAGCCCCAGCATCCCTCTTTCCACAAAGAAAAGTATCATGGGTCTTTTTAAAAATTGTTGTGTTTCTGTGATACGTATGTGTTCCCATAGGTATGTGCACATGTGTGTACATGTGGAGGCCAGAGGTTCACCTCATGTTTTTGAGACTGGGTGTCTCACTGAACCTGGAGCTCATGGGTTAGCTTGAATGGTTTTGGTGTTCCAGGGATCCTCTTGTCTTTATCTCTCCTCCTGCACTGGGTTCCAGATGTGTGCTGACTTTTATGTGAGTCGGTTGCTCATGCCTGCACATAGGCATGTTAACCACTGAGATGTCTCCTTCGCCATGTCAGACAACACTTAAACTGTGAAGAAGTCCTTCTGCTCTTTCTAGTGGTCCAGCAGCCACAGCACTTGCTCACCACTTGCTGCATGTACTCATTGATACCATCACTGCGAGGTTGTAAAGTTAGAAGTACCACCCTCATTTTGTAGCTGAAGAAAGTGAGTCAGAGAAAGGCTACGCATGCAAGGACACAAAGCTGAAACTCCAGCAGGCCAAGGCATCAGCTCCAGCTCCCAACTGCCCCTTAGACAAGTATTACCAAGTCAAATTCTCTGTTTAAAAATCTTACCTAATAGGGCTGGAGAGATGCTGAGTGGTTAAGAGCACCGGCTGCTCTTCCAGAGGACCCGGTCCCAGCTTTCATGAGGCAGCTTACAACCATCCATAACTTTAGTTCCAGGGAACCTGACTCCTCCCTTCTACCTCTGTCAATACCAGGCATACCCGCAGTGCACACACATAAATCAGGAGACATTCATACACATAAAATAAATAAGTCTTTTTTTCGTTGATAAAGCTTCTCTGTGCAGCCCTGGCTGTCATGGAACTTGCTCTATAGAACAGACTGGCTGTGAACTCAGAGATCTCCTGCCTCTGATTCCTGAGTGCTGGGATTAAAGACGTGCACTGCCACTGCCCTGCACTTACTATGGCTTCTTATGTGTAAATCTAAAGGATAAGAATTTAAAATATGGGAGCTGGAGAGAAGGCTCAGTGGTTAAGAGCACCAGCTGCTCTTCTAGAGGTTCTGAGTTCAATTCCCAACAACTACATGGTGGCTCACAACCGTCTGTAATGGGATCTGATGTCCTCTTCTGGTGTATATGTATATATAACAATCCAGAAATCTTCAACAGCACACACACACACTAAAAAGAAAAAAGAATTTAAAACACTCCAGTTACTTCACTTTTAAAAGTGCATCATGGGATGCAGAAGCAAGAGGACTCCCAAGTTGAATTTAGGCCTATGTGAATTTGGTGAGGCCCTGATAGGAGGTGAAGGGGTGCTGTGGTTGTAGTCCAGTGGTAGAGCACTTGCCTATGGCCTGGTGTGGAGGTGAAGCTCTATAATCCTGGTGCCCAGGAGGCTGAGATCTGAGGCCAGTATAAGCCACATATAGCAAAGCTTTACCTCAGAAACACAAAGGAGTGCTGGGCTAGGACAGGACGGAGTCCAGTGGAGTGATGGAGGAGGGTTATCTGTCTATTGTGTTATTTTCATTGGTTAATAAAGAAACTGCCTTGGCCTCTTGATAGGACAGAAAATTAGGTAGGCGGAGTAAACAGAATAGAATGCTGGGAAGAGGGCTATGAGGCACACGCCATGGAGCCAGCCACCAGGTCAAACATGCTGAATCTTTCCCGGTAAGCCACAACTCGTGGTGCTATACAAATTATTAGAAATGGGTTAATCAAGATGTTAGAGTTAGCCAGTAACTAACTCTCTAGAGATAATGGGCCAGGCAGTATTTAAATGAATACAACTTATGTGTTATTATTTCTGGGGCTAAGCTAGCCGTGCGGGAGCTGGGCAGGATGAAAAGCAGGCCTGCCCGCAGCCCCTCACTACAGTGGAGTGCTTGCCCTGCTGTGTGAGGTCTTGGGTTTGACAGCACGTAAAACTCAGACTGGACTGCACTTAGCGCGGCGCTAAGTCTCTTCGCTCAGAAGGTCACCTGCAGTCCATGTCCTGTAGTCTCACTGACTGCCTCCCATGAGGTCCATGTGGTCTCCTGTTCCTGATATCTCCTATGAATTGCTAGTTTGGTAGATCAGTTGGAATAACATCCAGGTTGGGATTTTTTTGTTTATTCAAAGCAAAAATACATCATGGGCATTAGTATGGGCTTTTGATACAAAGTACAGAATGTCGGCCCTTCCCTTCCTGATGCTGATAGCCAAAGGTTAAAATTCCAACATGCCAGCTTTCATTCAAGGTCTTTACCTCCTGTGAGTCAGCTGTGTTTGTTCTTGTGAAGGAAGGCTGCCAGGGGTTAGGCTGACCTACACCTGTAACCCACCTCAGAGGCTGAGACTGAGGACCATGGGTTCAAAGCCAGCCTGAACCCCATATGAGACACTGTGAACCAAAAAGGGGAAAAATAATAAAGTACAGCCTCACCCACTTTTTGCTTCCCACAGTGTTTGCTTGCAGCAGGAAGTGCAGGAGGACGCGCTCCTTCAGCACCCAGGGTTTTCAGAGGAGCCGCTCTGCTCTCAGCACCCGACAGGACGGAACCTTCTTTTTCTAGCATTAGTGTGAACTGATGGGCTTAAAAAATACCGTTCTCTCTTGGCTGGGTGGTGCACGCTTGAGGCAGGACGATCTTCGAGTTGAAGGCCAGCTGGTCTACTTAGTTCCAGGACAGCCAGGACTATGTAGAGGGACTCTGTCTCAAAGGAATGGAACAGGACCTTGAGAGCTTGTTTGTAGGTTCTAGCAGGGGAGAGCAGCTACATGTGTACCCTGACCAAAGACCGACTGGTCTTCTTCCATTTGGGGAAGGCGTGCAGCTTCAGGAGGGCGGGGCCGCACATGGAATGGGGAGGGGGGAAGGCGATACCCACCTAGCCAGCCATACCCTTACTACTCCTGTCAGACTTCTCGCTTCTAGTCTCTTTAGATGTTATCAACTCGGTCCATTGGGAAATGAATGCTCACGTGACCCTAGTAGTCCAAGCTTTTGTTTTTGCTGTTGTTTCTGTCTGAGGTGGGTTATAAGACTAGTTTGAACTCACAGTACTGCCCCAGCCTCCCACATGCGGGCACTAGGAGCCCAGACTGTGTGTGGCTATGCTCCTGTGTGTGCCTTGCTGCCGTGCCTGGAATTGGCAGCCTTCTCCAGAGGAACTGGGCTCATTTTAGTGGAAAATCATAGCACAGCTCGAAGCACAGCTGCGTTGGGTCTGAGGTGACTTGCCCTTCCTTCTGTTGGTGACTGGGTTATTTTCTTCTAGGAGTCCATGAAGAATATCAGCTGCCGTATTATGACTTAGTGCCCTCCGACCCTTCCATTGAGGAAATGCGAAAGGTTGTCTGTGACCAGAAGTTACGACCCAACATCCCCAACTGGTGGCAGAGTTATGAGGTAGGGAGCTTGCTTGACACTTATGGCTTCCTCCATCTGCCAAATTTCTCTACGCAGGACACAGGAGGGGTCTTATTTCTTAATGGGCCAACTCTCAGGTTTGCCTTCTAAGTGTATCTTTTGTCTGAAAATCCAACATATAAGACTTTGTGATCATTAACAAAGTGCCTGGCCTCGAGCGATGGGCCATAGTTGTGGGCATGCACACTACACGGATTATAAGTCTCTGAGAGTTGAGGTTAGGTAGGAAGTGTGAGTGAGTTTTCTTTTCTGAGGTTGCACTGGTTCCTTCTCTGCATAGAGGTCTATGCAGCTGTTCCCGACTCTGAAGTACCCAAAGTCCTCAGCATTCCTGTCCCAGGCAGCTCAGATAACGGGGTGCTCAGTTTGTGCTGTTACACACACTAAGTCCTTTGCAGCTATGGTCATTTTTCTGGCCATTAGAGAGTATCTCTTTGGAGCTGAAGCCATAAGAGAGGTAGTTAAGAAAAGACAGAAACAAAAATAAGTAGAACTGGTGGGCCTATCAAAATTGCCTGTGGGTGTAGCCCAGTGCAAGGCCTGGGGTCCTTCCCTACAGACCTAGTCTGTCACACTAGAAAAGTGACCCAGGAGCCACAGCCATGGAGATTCAGCCATGGCTTTCAGACGGGGTACCTCAGACAGGCAGGCCTGAGACAGTGGTCTTGGTAGAAATTCTGCAGATAAAGGAGGTTGAGAGGGAAGAATGTGGTGAAGTGGTGGAGAGAAAATTAGAATTCTAGTCATAAGGCACTTAAAATGGGGAGGTAGTTGAAATGTGAGGAGGTTTATGTCCTGGAGACTTCAGTGACATGTGGTCTGCCCAGCACAGGGCACAGGCCACTGTTATTCACAGTGTTGCTTTTCTTACTTACGCCGCTTCATTGTAACAAACAAACTTGGACTTGAGGTTCACCGTGCTGACTTCACATCCGGAGTGGGTTGCAGACAGTACTGCAGTCAAACCAGTTAGCACCTTTCACTCGCCCACTCGCCTTTACAGCTGTGCTAATGAGAGCCTCTGGGGTCCACCCCGGGCAGATTTCAGGCGTAGGCACAGCTCTGATTCTGCAGACCATGCGGGGTAAAGGCTCTGAGCAGGGAGCTCGCCTCTACTCTACAGATCCTAGCCGCTAGGGGGCGTCTCTGCACCTAAAAACACAATTATGGTCTCACAAATTTAAGCCAGTGTTTTTGATTGCCTAAGGGAACAGCATTTCCCAAAATGCACCTTGGGCACTTTGAAGTGGATTTAGCTGAGTGTAAGGCTGAAAGAACCCGCCTTCTGGTGTTGCCTTTCCCTTTCCTTGTACACCTGCCCCTTAGGGAAGGAGGAGGCAAGGAAGAGGTTGTGGGTGGTTCTGACCTGACTGACAGGCAGGTGGCAGTGAGCCAGCTCCAATGGCCAAGGCTTTTGTGGGTCACTGTAGGTTTCTCTGTGCAGGCGCTGCGGGTGATGGGGAAGATGATGCGTGAGTGCTGGTACGCCAATGGTGCTGCCCGCCTGACAGCGCTGCGCATCAAGAAGACTCTGTCCCAGTTGAGTGTGCAGGAAGATGTGAAGATCTAAGCTGCTCCGCTGCCTACACAAAGAACCTGGGCAGTGAGGATGACCACAGCCACCGTGCTGAGCGTACTGGAGGCCTACCTCTTGTTTCTGCCCAGCCCTCTGGCCAGAGTCCTGGCCTGCAAGAGGGACAGAGCCCGGGAGACGCGCACACTCCCATTTTGGGTTTGAGACACAGACTTTTTATATTTACCTCCTGATGGCATGGAGACTCGGAGAGCAAATTATGTAGAGAACTCGATGCCGCAAGTTGAACTGCAGTGGGAAGTAGACAGAACCCAGTGCATCTGGCGTGTGGCCAGCAATGGTGGTGGGGTGCTGGGCTCTCCCTGGAGCAGCCCCTATACCTTGTGGTCTGTTAGGCTGGAGGTTTTCCTCCAGGGACCAGTCAACCTGGCAGCAAGGTATTGAGAAGAACTGGAAGTGTAGCCCCTCTCACAGGCAGTCCTGAGCCACGCCATCCCCTTCTCCTCACGGACATCTAGAGGGACTGCCACTAGGGAGGCCACCTGCTGCCTGTCTGTCCAGCCAAGTGTGCATGTGCCGAGGTGTGTCCCACATTGTGCCTGGTCTGTGCCACGCCCTTACACGTGTGTGTGTGTGTGTGTGTGTGTGTGTGTGTGTGTGTGTGTCTGTAGGTGCACACTTACCTGCTTGAGCTTTCTGTGCATGTGCAGGCCAAGGTGTGCTGGTGCCTCTGTCACAGTGAGCAGTGTCTGGTTAACGTGGTGCCCTCCTGGAGGTCTCTCCTGTTCCCAGCCTTTGGCAGGGTGGTCCTTTTCTCAGCAGGCTGCTTGCCACCCTGTGTCACAGACCTTCCTCTCCCGTTTCAGACCACAACCAAAGCTGGCCCACTTGTCCATGGGAGAGGCTTTTGGGTCAAAATGAGGGGAGGGGAGCAGGACGAGCAGAGACAGAATGTTGTGCGAGCCTTGGGTGTTGTGTTTCAACATCAGCCGTGGGAAACGAGCCAGCCAAGGGCATCTTCCTCAGCAGCAGTGAGGAAGGGAGGGCCAGGAGATCTGAAGCCAGATCTCGGGTCTCGGATTGGAATGTGACATCTGTTTGTCCCACCCCACAGTCTGCAAACTGCAGTGTATATTTTTGGTGGTGGTGGTGGGTTTGGGGTGGGAAGGGATGGGCTGCAGGGAGTGGGGAGGGAGTCGGGTGGGAGGGAGGCATCTGCATGAGCCTTCTTGTACTGGATTCTCTGATGAGGCTAGAGGAAGATGAGAGATTCGCATCCACTTCAGGGCCCCTACTGAAGGGAGCAGTCTGAGCTGAATATGGTGTTTAACCGAAGTGTAGTATTTAACGGATTCTGGAAGCTTGGCTGTGGGTGGTGATTTGGTCAGCATATCTTAGGTATATATAACTTTGAAGCCATAACTTTTAACTGGAGTGGTTTATTTTAATTCATTTTATTTTATTTTATTTTATTTTATTGGGAAGATCAGGATTTTAACTTTAATACTGTTAAGTTTTTATAGAAGGAAAACCATCTCTGTGACAATTACCTCTTAGTCTGTTTGTTTTTAAAGAAATCCCTAAAACAAACAAAACACCACAGGAATTCTCTGGAATCAGATGCACATAGTTCAGTCACTGGAGCGTTTGTCTTTGCACCTGAGCCTGCTCCCACTCGGCAGTGAGAGTTTCTCCTCCCTGGGGACTTGGTGTCTTGTATTGCATGCACACCCCATCCTTCGAGCACCCCAGCCTTTTGTGCATTGTCCACCTGGTTGTGCCCTTCCCAGACATTTGCTCAGCAAGTTTGGGGTGAGTGCTTGTGGAGACAGGCTGGGTGCTGCACCGGGAGCATTGAAGGAGGAACTGAATCGTGAGTGAATGAGCCCCGTTTTTGAGACCAGAAGGGTCCATGTCCGCCGGTTCCGAGAGCCTTTGTGAGCCTGGGCTTACTGTTCTTAAGAACCGAGGGAAAGGAGCCTGTATCCCATCGGCAGAGAGCAGTGAGGCCTGGAGTTTAGAAACCCAGGTGAAACCCCAAAGCACTGCCTTGGTTGTGTACCCCTTTCTGCCCCAGGGGAGGCATGAATTTACACAGGGAAACTGCCTCCGCCCAGCTTCTCCTGCCTTGGGCTCCCCGTTTTCTTAGCCTTTCTATTTATTTCCTGGTGTATAACTTCTTTCCTTGCATTAAAGGGATCTTCCTTTAATTCTTTGGGCCAATTTACTGGCCATTGAACTATTTCCCTTGAGTCCCAATTATGTCATTGGGGGAACCTCTTAGCCCACCCCTGCTGACGTCCCGCCCCCACCTGCAGCTGCACCTTGTGATTACAGGTGACGATGGAACTGTAGAGTCCTCTGCTGTCTGCCAGCATACGCCCACAGTGACTCCTGTGCCACTAGCCCGCACTGGGGCCCTTCTGCCCCTGCGTGTAGTCCAGCTCACCCACCTCTCAGGAAGACTTGAGCAGGTTTGGGGAAGTGCCACCCCATCCCACTACTCTTTACATTAAGCTGAGAGTTGGGAGAAACTGAAGCTGTGTTTTGGCTCCCTAAGGCTACCCTGATCCACAGGGCTACCTGCACCTCTGGATTCTGGATTCACAGACCAAGTCCAAGCCTGTTCTTAGGTCGCCGTCAAGGCTCCTGAATGGCATTCTCGGTACTTCTGTTTGTTTTTGTACAATTTATTAGAAAGGACTGTAAAATAGCCACTTAGACACTTTACCTCTTCAGTATGCAAATGTAAATATATTGTAATATAGGAAATTTTTGTTTTAATATAAAAACGAGCCTGTCCAGTTTCTGCTGTACATTATTAAAGTTTTATTCACAGAGCTGCTGTGTTGCTGTCTGCCTTCCATATGTAATGACTTCCCAGGGCTTGGCCAGGGTGGGGATGGCGGGGCCCGTGTGTGGTGGTGACCTGCACATCAGGTCTTCTGGAACTTGCCGTGTGACCGAAGCAGCCGGAGGTAGCAGAGACTGCATTGTGTTGTGTTTTAGCATTTTGGTCTGTTTACCAAAAATGACATTGGTCCTAATTGATCACAGACCATTGACTCCAAGGCAAATAAAGAGATTCCCCAGTTTTACTCTGCTTGTAACTGAGTTTGGGGGTACTTAGGAGACTCAGGTGAGTCTTCAATGGTTTTGCTGGAATTTTCAAAGCATGGCTGATACTCATCACTCTAGTTGGTGCTTGAACCTGGGAAAATGGAGCCTAAAAATGAAGCTGACTAAAGTCTCATGCAATAGTCAGCTTTACTCAGAGCATCGGACAGTTGATACTCTGAGGGCGAAGTTCCCGCGAGCTGACGCTGTGTACAACCACAGGGACAAGTCGCGTGTGGCACAAACATGTTTTCCCACAGAAGCATATATACAGGTAGCAATAGCCAGTCCTGATGGGTAATCTGAATTAAGATCACTTCTGTTCCCTACGTCTGGAAGGGTAAACACATTCCAGGAACAAGTCTGAGTTTTTGAAGACACCGGTCACAAGACTCTTGTTTCCTTTGAGTGTTCTCACAAGCACTCAGTTCTCACACGACTCCATTCTTGGACCTTGTTCCAGCAGGCTGGGTGTAAATGTTCCAAAACAACGAACTAGGAGCAGTCTCGGGTTCAGATGGGGTCCCTAGGATTCCTTCCACCAGGCACCCAGTTCTGCTGCAGGGTCGTCGAAGATGCCTGTGCCGCGGCTTGTATCTGTAGACTCTGCTGCATACTAGAAGGGACAAGCAGCTCCTGGGTGTCTTCTGCAGGTTTCCAGTGCCCTTGTTCTCTCTTCTAAGCAAAGGCCCATAAGGCTGTCGTGTTGTTCAGTTAACATTAGCAAAGGTCTATTGAAAACTTACCATGAGCAGGGGAAGGACCCAGTTGGTAAAAGCATTTGCATGGTGAGGTGGGAGACGAACTAGAGAATCGTCCTCTAACCCACCTACAGGCTGTGGCGTGTGCATGCACAGCACCCTGCCCCAACACACAGCACGACTGTCAGAATGGTAAGGCCTGTGACGCTGCGGACATCGAATTACCCGAAGCGTGAGTCACTTGGTGTTTTGTTCCACAGCCATTTTTGACCCCTGGATTTGTGTTTGGATTTTTACGGTCTTGGGAATATGCTTGCTAAACTCAAAGGAAAATTGGGAGTAATTACGGTGCCAGTCACTGCCGAGGGGAACATAAACAGGATGTGACAAGAGCAAGTGGCAGGCTTCGGGTGAAGCCAGTTATGGTAGAACTAAGGTTCTGCAGAAAGCAACCACTGCGATAACGGCGTTTTTAGAGGGGTGTGTAAGAGACAGACAAGCACTTAGTTGTGAGGGGAGACAAATCAAAAATTTGGAAAATGACAAGCAGGGGCTGGAAAAAAGGCTCAGCAGTTAAGAGCACTGACTGCTCTTCCAGAGGACCCGGGTTCAATTCCCAGCACCCACATGGCAGCTCACAACTGTCTGAAAAATCAAGTTCCAGGGGATCTGACACCTTCACACCAATGCACATAAAATAAAGATAAATAAATCAAAAAAAATTAAGAAAGAAAGAAAAATGACCAACAGGGCAGAACTCCGCGGGGAGAATTGGTCCTACAGTCTTGAATCTAAAGGCAGAGTTCTTCCTTGAACACCTCAGTGCAAGGCTTTCAACTGTAGAGAACCCATCCACATCTGTAGAAATGCTGTTGTTTGGATAAGTGTCCCCTAAAAGTTTATATCAAAAGCATGCTCTTCAGTCCCAGTGCCACTGGGATGTGGGAGGGCTTTACGCCCTTGGGAATATGCCCTTGTATTAGTCACGTTTTCTTGGTTACAAAGTTCCGACAGAAGCACCTTTAAGGAAAGGTTGTCTGGGCACTGTCTGAGAGCATAGTCTGCCTGGTGGCAGGAGCCTGAAGATGAGGCTGGTCACAGCGGCGCTCACCCAGGAGCAGCGCTCACTCTCAGCTTAGGGCCTCTTTTATGTAGCATGGGACAGTGCCACCCTCATTTGAGAGACCAAAGGTGGGGGTGTGGCTCTGGAGGTTTCAGGATGGATGAGCTTTTAGCTATTTCCTAGCATCCTTAGGATTTAAAATATAGGCGGGACACAAAAACGTGTAAGCCAGGCCCTGGCTTCAAAGACTGCTTAACCTAGAGAGGCCCCATTCGTACAAATATAAGGCAGATTAGGGCAGGTCCAATGACAGAGCAATGCCCAGACTCTCCAGGGCCTTCCTTGCTGGAGGACAGATGGCTACCGGGGGAGGCAAGACCATGATAAGGACAGACAGGACGCTGAAGAACACAGGAAAGAGGAGGTAAAAGGGACATCTATTTTGAAGTAGTCACTGGCCTGCTGACTGAGCAAGGGAGAGGCTCCAGTCAAAAACGTTACCATTCAAGATCCACGAGTGCATAAGACAAGGTAATGGGGGGGGGGGGATGACCAAAATATATGCATGTATGAAATTGTTAAAGCATAAAAAGTTAAAAACCAAGCAGATACTACTGTGTCTAGGTAGTATAATTCTAGCACTTAGACAATTTTAAGGCTAGCCTGAGCTACATAACACCTATCTCTAAATCAAGGGGGCCCTGAAGGGTGAAGAATTGAAGGCATTCGGCCTTCAATCCCAGCACTTGAGAGGCAGAGGCAAAGGTGGTTCTGTGCCAGGCTGGTCTACATAGTGAGTTGGAGCCAGGGATACAGTGAGACCCTTGCTCATATGATCTGACTCTGATCCCCGAAACCCACGTAAGAGGAGAGAACCAGCTTCCACAGGTTGACCTCCGACCTCCACACTCACACTGCGGCACTGGACACACCCACACAGATATACAATAAATAAACACATGGCTGGAGACGTGGAGTGTTAGTTAAAGGCATGGTTGCTCTCATAAAGAACTGGGGTTCCATCCTCAGTGCCCACATGGCAGCTGGCAGCTGGCACTCCAGCAGCCTCTCCTGGCCTCTGTGGGCAACATGTAAGCAAAACACTCATTTTATAAAATAAAGATAGATCTTGACAACAGCACAAATCCAAACATGATTGTTTTGGCCACATCAAGGCAGCCAGGAATATAAGAAGGGAGTTACCTGAAGCTGTTACTGTGTTGAGGGGCAGGCGGCAGAAGTGGCAATGCTCTGACCTCTGCTGAGACAGCTCCCTCTGTGCCAATCAGTAAATTTCCCTCTTGTGTTGGTCTCCAAGTTTTTTAAATTGATTTATTTTTATTTTATATGCATATTTGTCTGTGTAAGGGTGTCAGATCTTGGAGTTATAGACAGTTGTGAACTGCCATGTGGGTGCTGGGATTTGAACCCGGGTCCTCTGGAAGAGTAATCAGAGCCCTTAACTGCTGAACCATCTCTCCAGCCCCCAAACATCTCTTATTAGCTAGCATGCCTACTGTACCATAAGTTAAAGCCTACTGGAGCTGGTGGTGCTTAGCTGTCATTCACATGCATCCTCAGCGATGTGTAAAGCTGGTGTGTGGCGATGGTACGTCTCAGCAGAGAGGCAGGAGAACAGAAGTTCACGGCTGTACACTGATTTCAAGGTCCTGTGATGGAGACCCTTCTGAAAGTCAAAATCACCACTCTTCGTGTAGGGATAATGCCATTGAAGGCTGTCTTAATTTGTTCTGCTGCTAATCGGTCTGGACTGGATAGGGCAAGCCTTTAATCTCAGCATTTTTTTTAATTTTTTAATATTTATTTATTATGTATACAATATTCTGTCTGTGTGTATGCCTGCAGGCCAGAAGAGGGCACCAGACCCCATTACAGATGGTTGTGAGCCACCGTGTGGTTGCTGGGAATTGAACTCAGGACCTTTGGAAGAGCAGGCAATGCTCTTAACCTCTCAGCCATCTCTCCAGCCCCTCTCAGCATTTTTTTTGAATCAGAAACAGGCAGATCTCTGAATTCAAGGCCAGCCTGGTTTACAGAGTGAGTTTCGGGTGAGCCAGGTCTATGTTGTATGATGTTTTACTCTTTTGTTTTTTTTTTGAGGGTCCCACCACCCAGCTCCCAAACAAATCACACACAGAGGCTTATATGAATGCCTGGCCTTAGCTTGTTTCTTGTCAGCTTTTCTTTTTCTTTTTTAATTTTCTAATGGTTTATTTAACTTTATTTTATGTGCATTGGTGTGGAGGTGTCAGATCCCCTGGAACTGGATTTTCAGACAGTTGTGAGCTGCCATGTGGGTGCTGGGAATTGAACCCGGGTCCTCGGGAAGAGCAGTCAGTGCTTTTAACCACTGAGCCATCTCTGCAGCCCCTTGCCAACTTTTCTTAAATTATCTTGACTACCCTTTGCCTCTGGGCTTTTATCTTTCATATATATATATATATAATATATTATATATGTATATATACATATTTGTATATATATATTATATATATATATATATATTTACTTCTTTCTCTGCGGCTTGCTGTATGGCTGGCCCCTGATGTCCTCCTCTCCTTGTTCTCTTGCTCCTTGGTTCTCCTCCTATTTATTCTCTCTGTCTGCCAACCCCGCCTATCCTTGCTCCTGCCTCGCTATTGGGCATTCAGCTCTTTATTAGAACATCAGGTGTTTTAGACAGGCAAAGAGTCACAGTTCCACAGTTAATCAAATGCAGCATAAACAAAAGCGCCACACTTGAAAATAACATTTCCTAACAGGGCGACATTGAAACACTTGGAGGCATTTTCTCTTTTGAGTCTCCCTCCTTTCAGATAACTGCAGCCTGTGTCAAACTGACACAAAACCAGCCAGCACCAGTCCCATGTCAGGACAGAGCCCTGCGGACTGCACCACCTTCTAAAGACTCCCCCATCACTCCAAGGGCTGAGCCTGT